ATGCCATCTTCTAGGTCATGGATGAAGATATTGAATAAAATCAGCCCCAGGACCAACCCCTGGAATACTCCACTTGATACCAGCTCTCAACTAGACATCAAACCATTGATTACTATCCTTTGAACCCAATTTTCCAGCCAGTTTTCTATCTACCTTACAGACCATTTATCCAATCCATACTTCCTTAGCTTGCCTGTGAAAATGGTGTGGGAGACCATATCAAAAGCCTTGTCTTGAGTCAAGGTATATCAAATCTACTGTTCGCCCTATATCCACAGAGCCAGTCATCTTGTCATAGAAGGCAGTCAGGTATGACTTGCCCTTGGTGAATCCATGCTGACTGTTCCTAATCAGTCACCATCTTCTCCTCCAACTGCTTAGAAATTGATTCCTTGGGGACTGCTTCCATGATTTTTCCAGGGACTGAGATAAGGCTGCTAAGTGGATCCCTGGATGGGCACTAGATTTGCCCTTTTCTAGTTGTCCAGGATCTCTCCCAGTTACCACAAGTTTTCAAAGGTAGTGGCCAGCAGCTCTGCAATCAAAAGTTTCCTTAAAGTTCTGGTGCCCAGATCTACATTTAGAGGCTTATACCCAGTCTTGAACTCACATCTTTGTACTTGCTAGCGCAGCATGCAGACCCGTGAGCTACAGAACAGACCAGAAAAGGAGCATGACCAAACTACCACCAGTGAATGCAGTGAACATAGTCTATTTGGACTTTAGTAAGGCTACGGATATAGTCCCACATGACTTTATCATAAAATTACTAGAAGTCAGTAATTGGTTCAATAACTGTTTGCAACATCTAATGATAAATGGATTAATTTTTGAGTGGCAGGAGGTTTCGAGTGGGATCCCACAGGAATCTGTCCTGGGCCCAGTAATGTTTAACATGTTTATTAGTGATTTACAAGCTGGAGGAGAAAGCTTCCAGATCAAGACTGGAGATGACAGGAAGCTGAGAAGGATTGCAAACTCATCGGAAGATAGAACTGAAATTTAAAAGGATCTCGATGATGTGAGCTATGTGAATGTGATGAATCTGCATGTGTGAATCTTAAATTACTTTCTGGTACTTTCTGTTGAATCAGCTCACACCAATGCAGGTAGAGTTTTACTTTGTGTTTTCTATATCAGCTGTGCTTACCAGCCTGGGAGGGCTCTTTCCTACTCTAGTGGTTAGAGTTTTATTTATGGAGGGGCTGGGACCACCAAAAATAGGCTTGGGAGCTGGGCTAGAGACAGTAGAATAAAGTTAAGAGTAGACATACATAAGGTGCTGCATCTAAGAAAGAAACATGAAATGCAAAATACAGCACGGGAGACAACTGCCTGGGTAGCAGCATTGCTGAGATGAATCAGGTGGTTTTAGTGGATCACAGACACATCATGTGTGAGTAATGTGATGCACACAAAAAAGTACTTGTAATTTGGGGCTATATCAACAAGAGTTTTAGGCTCAAGATACAAGAGATGATGATATCTTTCCACTCCACACTGGCTCTGCCAGACCTAGAGTATTGTGTACAGTTATTGGCTTCACATCTTAGGAAGGAGGTAGGGAAAGGGAAGAGGGGCAGGAAGGAATTTTACCCCATGGTCAGGTTTTTATGAGGGGTTTTGCCTTCTTCTGTACTAGGTGGTGTGGTCCTCTTCCTTGGATCTCTTGAGCATATTTTAACAAACTCTTCTTTTGCTCTTGCAGTAGCACTTAATTGATAGCACACTCACTCCCCACCTTTGCTTGTGGCAAATTAAAGGGTGTTTGATATTTCAGGTCTTATGCCTGGTAGGTAGGTGTGAGGGTTTATTCCTAAAACGTTCAGAAAATAATTGATAAACACTTGTGTAAGGTGGTTAGATAGGGATGATTCTGCCTTGAGTGAAAGGATGAACTTGGTTATCTTGTGAAGCCTCAGAGCTGCACAGATATCTCTGGAGGGCAATGCTACTCATGTCTGCTCTCCCACGGAGGAAACAGGAAGGCAATGCACCTGCTCTGGATACCTGTGCAGTGAGGATAGGCAATGATTTCAGGACATCTCCCTCCTCCCCAACATACATACCAATGTGCCAGCAACTGTCTGGAAGCTGTGTCAAGGCAGAGGCTCTGCACACTGAAAGGCTACAGAACTATACCTGGGCACCTTTCTGCCCTGGCCAGGGAAAACCTGCTACTCTTCCTAGGGCATTGCAGCAGGCAGATTGTCAACTCAGCTCCTAGCACA